TGCGGTGGTACATCGTCTTGGTCGGAGTGCCAAGTAGAGTCTGGATAGCTTAGACACATATCCCACTCGAGACAGGAGATGGCTGCTTCAAATCAGGCATAACACAACCACATTTCTCGCGGCGCTGGTATGCATGGATGACGAAGACATGCTTGGATGACCTAAGGTTTTGAGACGTCCTTTTGGTGGGTACTTACGGAGGAGAATCGACTGTTTGTGTAAGCAATCATACCTCACATCGGTATTTACGAATCAAATCCGGGGCATGAGTGTTTCTTATGTCAAAAGTCATCCAACAAGTAGACATAGCACCGATCATGTATCGTAGCTAGATTGCTGAATACACATTAAATGATTTAATGATTTAAAATAAAAGATCTCCACTCTTCCCTAGATCCCTGACTGCCCCGATATCTGCTCAAATTCCATTGACTCAAGATTTTAGTAGTCATTCACAAATTTATTGACTATTCTCTGGAATGGCCACGAACTGCCGTTACGCAGGGCCTGAAAAGCTTCAAATTTATCTAGGATCACTTTGATTCGGGTTATGCCTGCTACCAGCCTTGCTACTTCAAGGGTTTCGTGGGCTCCTGATCATCATCGACTATATGGCTTGACGATAATTGTACATTTCCAGCATCTGCTGACCTCTTCCTGCACTCTCATTCGCCAAGCTAGTAACGAAAGATTCTTGGCGTTGGGAAGGCTGTATGCCCTGTTTGCCCTGTTTGCTGAGTTCCGAGTGCGGCCGCCTCGGTTCTGGGGCCCACATGAGAGTATAAGTAAAGGCTGAATCCGCCGCCCTTCTCCTGCCTTCATACTTACCTTCTTGACACCAGAGCGATCATCAATGCTACTGGTGGCGACTCTAAACCCTCATTGCACAGCGAGGAGTCGGGAGTCGTTGACTTTCCTTCGGGGACGTCATCGGGGGAATTTTTGATTGCCCACCTTTTGAAAGGACAAATTTTCATTATGAGACTGCCCAGCAGTCGGTAAAGAAGATGTCGGTTCGGGAAATAGATATTCTGATCAGTAACGTGAGTAACGGTTATATGTTATGTGGTGGCTCTCTGCGCAGTGCCAATAACGACACAATACTGATATTGGATACCGCAAAATGAATGATGCCACTTGGGTGACGCTGTCATTTGGCTACGACAACACAAGGTGAGTCAACTTAGCTGGATCATGCCCGTGTTTGGTAGATGTAAATAGTCAGTATCTTTCGAATACCACATCTGAACCCTCGTGACTACTCAACCCACATTAAACCTAGAATATTCAACGTCTATGATTGGCGTTACGCGTCCCGATCGAACTCGGCGGGTTCCAGAAAGAAGTGTTCCCACGTCAACGACTTAACTTAGGGCAATTGATGCGGTGCTAAACGATGCCATTTTCACACGCTTACATTCACTAAAGCATATGTGACTTATTCTACATCACAGGTGTGGGCAACACTATGCATGACTGTAGCCTTATCGTCCACAAGCGCCCAGAATTCAGAAATACTCGAAAATTCAATGTCCCATCATTCACATTGTGACTCATACCTTCTGCAGTCTCATTCTCCAACTGTCTATCTCTCATCAGGCTGTTGTACTCTGTTAGAGCAACAGACATCACACCTCACGACAAGATTCGAGCTATGCACATCATGACTTATTTCCTTCTGGCAGGTACACGTAGCTCCGTAATTTGATCGTGGGAGATGGTCGGTGATCGAGGTGGCTAGCTACCGTATGCAATTAGAGTAACACGTTTGTTGGTCGTTGAGGCAAATTAGTGTATTATAAGATGAAGTTAGAGGACTTGCATGAGAATGACAAGACCGATATGATGAGAAGTCAGCGATTCTATACATGCTTGTATATGCTTTCAACTACGATTCGGATGCGATTCTTCTAGGCTATCCCAGATACGCAGAGCAGGCTGAGCCATTAGACCGGCGTCGCTGGAAGTTGACGATTTCGTATTTACAGACCACAGTCCAGGGTGCTCGGCTGGCAGAGAATAAATGAGATGCTAGACCTGATGTAATTTATGCTAGCTATTACGGGCAGGAGATCCTGTCAGTAGATATCATGGTTTCGCGCTAGAGATTGAGGATTGCAAATCGAACGCAACTTTCGCTCTCATTTTCTCCGTCGCACCCTTATTGGCCTGTCATAGAGAGGCATACATCTCAAGCCCGACCAAACCACCATCACAGAAGCTTATCGTGAAAATGTGCAAGCACTTGATGGACTACAGAATAAGACGAGACGGGTTTTCTCAGGTGCTGACTAAAGTTCAGCACTTCCCTCCCTGCCTAGCCGGCAAAGACGAATTCTTCACCTTCCAGTGGTGCCGGTGTAATCGCTTAGTATGCTCTGCATATCTGGGATAGCCAAGAAGAATCGCATCCAAATCGAAGTCGACAGCACTCGCAAGCACATCTAAAATCGACGACTCATCGTCAATGTCGGACCTATCATTCTCATGCGAGTCCTCCACCTCAATCTTACCACACCACCTCGCCTCAAATACCGATAATGGCGTTACTTGAATCGCAATCGGGCATTCGCCTTATTAAAAACCGGCCATCTCCCACTAGACATTTACGATGCTACGTTTACCCGCGAGGAGGAATTCAAGTCATAATCTACAAAGCTCGGGTCTTGGTCTATGGGGGACCGTTGCTCTAATGGGGCTTCACATCTTGAAGGAGAACAGGCAGCTGGGACGTGGGACGAACGAGTGAAGAGGTCACAAATGGGCATGCTGGGACGCGTATTTTTCGAGTGTCTTCGACTTCAGATTGTCTGTGAATGCAGAAGCAACGATTTTGGATAGTGTAACTGACACTCCAAAAATAGGCAAAGATGGAAGGTGTTTTGGTCCGTCTCCTGGTCGTCATCTCCCCGAATTAAAGTCTGGGTAGCCTGGACACCCACCTCACTCGAGAAAGGGAGGACTGTGAGGCCATATCTCGCGCCGCGGCTTTATACAAGATGGCAAAGGCATGTTAGGGTAGCCAATGGGTTTTCATGTTTTCCCTTTGGTGGATATTAACGGTTGACGGAAGGATGAAAGTCCCTAGCACCAAGGTCTCGAGTAGTATCAGTGAATGCACCCACTACATGAGTTGTCCAAATTTCAAACAGAGTCATCGTCGTATATAGTCGCTGTGGAAGCTAGTCTTCTCCGTGTCATGCTCTTTGAGTGCAGGGCTTGTGCCCGTCACGAATAAATTTTCATTCATTCATTCCCTCCCTCCCTGCCTAGGTATTGGATTGACCTTTTAATGCCGACTGAATAGATGAATGTTTTGGTTTTATCGTGAAACGTTATTTTACGCCTAGACAGCATATTGGGCTTCTCTCTGTCTGAGGCCACACTTTGTTCAGTGCTCCTGTCTCTTTTACTTCGAGAATAAATCCCTGATCTAATGCCAGTGATGCTTCTCCATTTAGCTTAGTAATTATCCGTACAGTTTAAACTTCTTTTGCGCGGATCTCGCTAGCCCGGAAATCCCCTAGGAACCTTCAGCCTCTGCCAGACGAGGCCTAGACACCAGGACCCCGTTAAGTGCGTATATGCATTTATATCTCCCTTCTTTGAAACAGTCGAGGCCAACTTGAATCAATCCGACGTCTCCGTATCAGGTGCTGAATAATATCAGGATACTCACCGGATGACTTTTCCTCCGTACTCAGGGTTGTTACGGTTCAACCATAGTTTAAGCTTAGGTGAATACCTAAGCGCATTGTTGAAGACTCTGATTTTAAGACTGTTGATGAATTATAGACAAGTCTCAAAGAAACAGTGCTAACAATCAAGGGATCTAAACAATGTCATAGCACAGTGAATATGGGCAATGTGTGGCTGTACGGTAATTATTCGACCTAAGAAAAGGGTATAAGCGACGAGATTCATAGATTGGATTAAATGTTTTCAGTAGCTTGTAGCTATAGTTAGATTCCTCTTCTTCATATATTTTAATAAATCGATTTATTCATCACCAACTCGGTTTCCGTCACATAGGATGAGAAGTCTTTCTAGCACCAAACCTACCATCTGATCTGATCGTGGTTAGCTTCATGATAATGGCGATGTGGGATCGTATTGAGAGATGAAGATGATACAGACCGCGATAGTGATTGGGAATCTTCATCGAAGTGAGGATGTTATTACTCAACCTCGGCTCTGCAGACTTTACAGTGAGAGCTGGAGGTTCGTAGGCCACACCACATAGAGAACTTGAGCTTTAGTCCCCTGGGTATCGACAAGAGCCACTGCTAAAATTTTTTAACTTGATAAAGCTTTCAGAAAAATTGAAACTTGGCATTAGTCTCGAAACTAGCATACAAATAAATCCAAAGCTGGGTGCGCTGGCAATCGGTCTTAAGAGTTTTGTTGTCGTACTGATAGCAAGGCTAATTTGTTCGATTATTTGGGTATGAGTATTGAAGTAGCTGATCACTAGTATATTTCCTTTACATGCTGTTCCAAATTATTATTTTTGGAAAAAAATAAACTTGCAACGTCGGAAGCCTTTCAAAAGACGGTTGTATGAAATAGATATCGGCCCCCCCCTCCGGAGAAATCTCTTTTTAACTCTGATGTTAAAGATTAAAGAACCTCGCTTGACATTTCCCTGGCCCGTGAAATTATGCTAGATAGAGCTTCTTACACTGGATAGATTATAAAATACCAAAACTATTAAGGAAATAATGACCCCTCAGTCATTGAGGTTGTTGAGCGCATTGATTCAAGTAACTACCGAAGTGAAACTAAGTTCACTCTTGTCATAGCTAGATAGCTGAATACAATATGATTTAAAAAAAAAAAAAAAAAAAGAAACTAAGTACAGAATTTGCAATCACGTGCAGATCATCAACGTGGCCCACTTGATAGCCACAATTATTATAAATTCCAACAAAAACTACCTGTTTGTTTGAAACCTAGAAGCCCCAACGCCTTTCAATGCATGGCTGAATTACCCAACTATCTTACCTTTTGCTCGCTCGCCGAGATTTCCCAGGTCTACTCTTTGGATCTGACTTCATTTTTTTGCTCGAAAATTTCTTTAGATCCCCGCTACTTATCGCATCACCACTCTTTTTGAATTTTTTCTTTCCACCAAATCCAAATTTTTCATCCTTTTTTTGCCGCTTATTTATTACAGGTCGATCTTTCCTGGATGGTTTGGATGTCCCAATCTCTTCATCAATCGCTACATCAAACAAGTCTGCTTCATTCGTGGTCTCTGCTTCAGCGCCTTGGCGTTCTGTATAATGGTTTAGTTTATTTCAAATTGAACCAAAACTAGTACTCACTCCTTTTCAGTACTTTGATTTTTTCCAAAGTCTGCTTGCGCTCTTTGTCGCGTTCCTGCAATTTGGCTACCTGTACTTGCTTGCCGAACTTTTTTAGATCTCGTTGTTTCCTTGCTTCAGCACTTGCTTTCTTGCTAGCAGCTTCGTCAATCAACTTTGATTTAATTTTTGCCATGTGCTCGTCGGCCTTGACCATTTCAGCAAAATAATCTTTTGGCCTTGAGAATGGTATTCCTTCACATTTCAAGAGCTTTCGAGCTTCTTGAGCCGCTGAGAGACACTGAGAATAGAATGCTAGTTCGCGATTAAGATCGTCAGAGACGTCTGGAATGGAGACTGGAGTAGATGTAGTTATAGATAAGTGTTCAGAGAATTGCAACTTGGGCGTTGTTACTGCGATCCGCTTGAGCGCAGAAGTTAGTGCCACAATATTATCTATTGTTAAGCGCTGGTGTGGAATGATATCTTCTCTTTCATCATCATCTAAGTCCTCGAGATCGGAAACTGGTATATCTTCGTCATCCTCTTCTTCACCATTCGACGAGTCGCTTTCACTCTCGTCAATAGCTTCCAAGTCGACCTGGATTAATGTCAGCGAGAAATTTAGTGTTGGAATTGCTGGAGTGCGGGCCTTAGACGGGTTTTCATCTTCCTCACAACTACTTTCTCCATTACTTTCATCATTATCAACATCAGGCTCTTTTATGGTCTTCTCTGGTTCTTTCTGTGAGCTGAGGTTGTCATTTTGACCATCCGTTACCATGGCTACTTCCAAAGGTTTTGTACACTCATTTTTTTTTGCCCTCGCCTTTTTTGCAATCTTTTCTTTCTTCTTTAACTGTAACTTCTTCAAATCAATTCCCTTCTCAGCAAGAAGAGCTGACTTGAGCTTGCTTTTCTTAACCATATCTGTTGTTTATTAAATTTGTAGTAATTCCTCATGTAATTTTATCTATGCCGCTAAGCAACTGAAAATTGAATACAAATAATCTGAGCGCTAGGCTGACCGCCTACAAATTAAGATCAGGCTAGCCCGATTAGGTTCGAAGAGGTGAGGCCTTAATTTCTAATGTACTCAAAAAAAGAGGATACAGCAGATGTATTGCTCGGAAGAAGTCTCCGTTGAGTGCAGTTAACAAGCAGAAAATATTGGAGTTTGCCCAATCAAATTTAGATTGGAGCGATGAACAATGGAGTCGCATACTATGGACTGACGAAACTTGGGTATCCGGTGATTCTCATTTGAAACCTCGTGTTATGAGAAAAGTACGTATAAATTCTATCAAAATCTTCCTTGTTATAACAGCAGAGTTTAGCCTGATGATGAATTTGATGAGACTTATATTGTGGCTCATCATGCTCATGGGAGCAGTTGGAGTTTTTGGGGATCATTTCATGTATCACAGAAAAGCCCATTCCTAGTCTGGGAGAAGGATTGGGGATCAATGAGAGCCTCATCCTTTTTTGAAAGGATTTTGCCTCTTTTGAATCAATTTAACATGGAAAATCCACAAATTATATACATGCGCCATGCCATAAAGCACACTCAACAACTGAGGCGCTACGTGAGGTTGGAACAACGCCTATTAGATGGCCACCTTACTCTCCGGACCTGAACCCGATCGAGTCATTGCGGAACATCTTAAAAAACCACATTCAGGTAAATAGTCTAGAGATAAATGGGGTCAGGCTTGTGTGCTCTGCCACGTTGAAAGCATTGCTACATGCCACATGGGACTCTATACCTTCTGAGGAGCTAATGTCACTAGTTGGTAGCATGCACGAAAGATGTGTAGCGATGATAAAGGTAAATGGAGGGTACACAAAATATTAGCCTGGAGCAGACTAATACAAAGCATGTAGAACGGTCTCATTTTAGTTGCAAGCCATACTGAGGGCTTCGATGTAAACTTTTGGAATACAGAGCAATTGTCATTGAAATAGATTTGTATTTCTAGATAATATCAATTGATTACTTTTAATTTTCAATTAAATGAGGACCATTGTACTTTTCATTTAGAGCTGAAAACCACCCCTAAATTTAGACTATCACATAATATCATTGGATAGCACCCCTTGCTTGCTCAGCTAGTCGAGTGTGAAGACATGGGCCTGCATGAAGACCATACCAACTAAGGCAACATGTACAGGGACATAATCCCAGTCATTTGGACAATCTTACCAATACAACCCATGAGAGTCTGTAATTACTGTCAGACTCCTGTTAAGACGATCATGATTAAGACGATATTGCCGTTTATTTGATATATATATATATAGTTCATTATCCAGATTTGGCGACTTAAGACCCATGCAGGTTTTTATCGGAAGATATGTACTTTAAGTAGGACGACACAATTTGACGATTAGTACACTCACACTCAGATTCCATTAGCACATTCCATTCGAGATTAACCCTTACGGAGCACAACCCTTTCCGTGCATACCCACCACACGGAAAAGCATGAAAAACCTGTGGCAAGAGAAGTGTGTTTACATCTTCCAACAAGTATAATACCACTGCGCGAGAGTGTGGTGTGTAGGTCTGACTGGATTCGAAACTGCTCACTCCTACCTCAAATGGAGTAGGTGATCAAGCTACCCAGTATCTAGTTGTGAGAATGGCTCGTACGGTGTACCACTGCACCATCCAGCCCTTAAATGATATACTTTCCGAAAGGAACTTCGTTGTCATATATTTACCGATTACACGCTTATCGTTCTTCAACCTTGGAATATCGTCTTAACCAGGGTTTTTTTGTTAGATTGGTGCTAACAATGTCGCCAAAAAAGGGAATTGCTGTAGAGCAACGACGTGCTCTGCGACGATGGGCGCACCGCGAGGTCTCACAACCAACACAAAAACAGTGCATTGAGTGGGGGACTATTCTCAACACCTGTCAGTGGTGTCCCCCCGCGAACATCCAGCTCTCACTGTAGAGTCTGCAGAGCCGAAATTGAGTAACAAAGTCCTCACTTCGATGAAGATTCCCAATCGCTTTCGCGGTCTGCATCGTCTTCATCTCTCAAAACATTCCCCTATCACCATTATCATGAAGCTGACCACGATCAGATCAGATGGTGGGTGTCAAGGGATGGAGTGGATTGCGGTACCGTATAGTCACGTGCTATCACGCGTCTGATGCGTGATTTACGATGTATATATATTTTTAAGTAGACCAATCTCCCTCTTTTCATGCCTAGGTAAAGGCTTTGAGCGACTGACAGCACGGCGACTTTCATTTATAGCTCTGAAATATCGGGTACTAGCTGAAGACTAATGCTGTGCCATCTCTCTTCGCTCTGCTTCTGACCTTACCACAGCAATTTCTTGCGATATCCAGGAAAAATGGATGGAAAAGAAAGTAGCAGGTATAGTGAATGTCGATGTCCAAGGGGCGTTTGATGGTATCCAAAAAGGACGGCTCTGTTACAGGCTTCGAAACGAAGGATGGCCATCAAGCGTGGTTCGCTGGGTAGCATCATTCATGGAGCAGCGAGAATACATCATCTCTATTGAAGATACTACCTCCCCGCCCTTTCAAACTCTCTGTGGTTTCCCACAGATCTCACCAGTATCGCCAATTCTATTTCTTCTGGCTAAGGAAGAGGCACTACGTCTTTCCACTGGCTGTTACGGTTTGACCGTTGTTTGAGCTTAGGTGGATACCTAAGCCTGATACTAAGAATTCTTACGAAGAGGCTGTATGGGGAAGAGATGAAGCTGAACGAAACGAAACGGCACTAATAGTCAGGAGGCTGAAGCGTTATTACAACTAAGTGACACCTGGGAATACGTGGCTGGGTAAGAAGTATTGTGCCTAAGGACAAGTCACAAGTCTGTAGATTCACGAGGAGGATTAACTCCTATAAATACCTGTTAGTAGTAGCTAGAGTTAGCTTTTCTCGTCATATAGTTTATTAAATCGATTTTATTCATCACCAACTCGGTTTCCGTCACACTGGCCGCTTTGGCTATGCAGATGACATTGCCATTTTCGCGTCTGCGTCCTCCTTAGAAGAGTGTGCACGCAAACTCCAGGAGAAATTAGACAGCACCATAGCATGGGGACTTACTAACGGAATTAGTTTCGAACTTCCTAAGACTGAGCTGCAATACTTTCACCGGAAGCGAGGCTCACCACTAGAACCGACTCTTAGTATTGGAGGGACAACTAGAACGCCCAATGACCACACTCGTTGACTTGAGATATTTTTCGACCGTGCTCTTCGGTTCCAATATCATACTACACAGGCTTGCCGGAAGTCTCTAGCTATCACGAGCCATATGAAAAGACTGTCCACAACCACTCGAGGAATAAGCCCTCTTTTTCTAAGACAAGCTCTACAAGGTGCTGCCTTTGCGACCCTTTTCTACGGGGCTGAGACCTGGTACTCTAAACAGACTTCCCAAAAAATTATCTTGCAAGTCCAACATAGGATGAACGACGCGGCACGGGCAGCTCTCCCAGTCTACCGTACCACACCAATAGCAGCACTTCTACGTGAAGCTGGCTGGGATCCAGCTCAGACGTGGCTTAAGAGAATTCACAGCCGTCTAGTGGTTCGAATTTCTGTAGCTGACCCCTATCACCCTCTTCGTAGGCGTTGGAACACTAGCCGCAAGCGCTGGATCCGCCAGAGGATTTCACTAGAACTTTCCGAAGATACCATCCCCCCACCATGGTCGGCACCCCGTGAGGAAAAGCTAATCGAAATTGGAGCAGTAGGTAGACTCTCGGGATCGAATTCCTTCAAACAGTGGCAGGCTGCTCGACCCATTCTAGACTTATTCGTATTTTCAGATGGAGCTCTCATAGCAGACCGGGCAGGCGCGGGTTACTTCATCTATCGAGGCCTTACGCAGAAAATTGGGTGAGGATCACTCCCTCTAGGAAACTCAGCAGAGGTCTATGATGCTGAAATTGCTGGGGCCACGGAAGGCCTTCCTGCAGCACTCCTCAACTGTCAGGTAACTGGGAGCCTGACCTGTGTTAGGCGAAGTGTATGTAATTAAAGTAAAAGATAACTCAGTAAAAACAACTTGATTCCTATTTCTTCCGGAATTTTAGGACTATATACGCTGATCATGATTGACTTGATCTCTTGATCTCTAAATATAGACATGCGCTAGGAATAGAACAACCTGCAGTTCTAAATACAGAATGCAAGCACTGACCGAAACAAACAACCCACGTACGTATGGACAGTCCCTATTTGTGACTCGAGACATTTCGCTGTCCAACTTCTTCGGTGGTTATTCTTAGCCGTCGACATCAACCCACTAGCTTTCTATGCCTCTAACGTCACCGTTTGACTTGACAACCAGGAGGCTGCCCTCCGTCTTCTCTCTGATGTTCCCACAGCGTCTAGCTCAGCGAAAATCTTTCTCTTTCACAAGCTTGCAGCAAACTGGAAAAGAAGGTCACGCGGCCAAAACACAACGCCTGGGGAAGTGGAAATCCGATGGTGCCCGGGCCACGCAGGTATTCTAGGAAACGAAGCAGCCGACGCGCTTGCCAAAGCCGCTTGTGCGGCTCCAGCTCTACACTCGGTATTCTCTATTGCGAGGGCAAGAAGGGAAGTCAAAGCCCAGTACGAGGCTTCTGTTGCACTTTACTGGGCAGAAAATTCTCCATCTAGATATAAAGAATTAGGAATTAGGAATTAGTCCTAATACTAAGATTACTGCCGAGCTCGCCTGTCTAGGGCGACGCACACTAGGATATCTATTAGCTACACGGTCTGGACATGGCGATTTCGCAGACTACCACCGACGCTTTCAGCACGAAAACGCCATTCTAACCTGCTCATGCGGAGAAGAAAAGTTCCCCAACCACTTTTTCTATTGCCACCCCGGGCAATACCAGGCTCAGCTCCACAGGGCACAGAACTCTAATCCCAGCG